TTACAGGGTATTGAGACCTGAAAAGACTGGGTCTGGAAACTGACAGCGCAACACAACTACTCAATACACATGTTTTATCAGGAGGTTAAAACAGTCTGCCGATCTAAATCCTCCTGTGTTGCTGCAAAGTAAAGAGCTATTGTTATGACTAATCCACCAGACCGCAGAACTCTATGATGCCGTAATGCGATGAGCTGTCCATTGTTTACTGGAAGCTGCAGAGTGTAAGGTGTACTCGACCGCAACGGTTTGGCCAGCATCGCTGCAGCACTCATCTGTTCGATGTTGACCGTCAGTGGGGCTAAGCCTTTACAAAGCGTTTGTATTTTGACCTCACGCCCAAGTCTGCAAGTCTCTGTGGATGATAAGTTCAATCTATCAATCCCCTCCCACCACAGAAGAGGCTGACATTATGTACACCTCTCCCCTGCAATGCTTCAGATGTTCGTCACAGGGTGCATACACACACGCCAAACTTTTGCCGAACATTTAGGTTGTACAATCATGGCGGAGAAGTTGTACGTGTCAGTCCGCTGAATTCCACTCAAGTACACTGACATAACAAGGCCACCTGTACAAATTGACGTTGACAGTTCCTTTGAGATATAATTGATATGAACAATACACCGTGATTTGATGTCAAATATGACATCTTGCATAAAGGTCATTGGTTCTTTACACTCTTGGGCAAGTTTGGGCGTGTTTTTAAATGAAAGTGACAGTCCTTTGGTAGTAACTCAACGTGAAGGCATGCAAGTTTAATGTGCATGGCAAACAGAGTACATACAATGAATCTATGCTGGAATGTATGGTCTTCATGTGCATGCCGAACGCATGCAGGAACCCGGTTGGAAAACTTCCTACCAGTCTATCTTTCTTACACCAGTGAGGGTGCACTTCAACTCAGCTTGGATAGACTCAGTCAAACCTTACCCTGTACAGAAAAGCACAGACTACGATGAAAACAACCACTTCCTGCTGGTAACCTCCAAGGAAAACTTAGAAGTATCTATGATTCTACAAATGTCCAAAATGAACACAGCTCCTGGATCCCAAAGTACCTTGACAGCTTCAGTTATCGTTGCATCTTTCTCCAATTCCTCCGTGGTATACATATTCAGTCTCATTCCCAGCTCCTCTAGTTGCCGGCTCTGCTCGTTCAGTAGTTCCTGGGCCTGCTGTTCCCGTGACAACGCTTTGCTCAACTCCTGACAGACGCTATCAAACTTCTCCTTCATGACCATGTTGTGCCTCTGAAAATTGGAGGTTGTACAGAAAGACCTCTTTAATCAAAAAAATGGAACAGAAGAGAAATAATTTACCAGTTTGATAGTCAGAAAGCTTTTAGTAATCAATCATTCAGATAGCCAATATTTTCCACAGCTTTTCAAGGATGAAATGTTTATATTTCTGTAGTGATGTCAATCAATCAATACTAGCTAACTAATGAGTGATGGTCTCTCATTTGATTAGGTTAACAAGAGCTTATTATCCTCCGGTGATGTGATTTCATTGAATATCTGGAAATTTTTTCAATTAGTGAACAATCAGTCAATATTTAAATTGATCTATTTATCAACTGAACAAGAATGAGATGTTTGATTTCATACTCCAAAGTCTTTTTTCATTTGATTTTGCGACAGTGTTCACAAAGAGACATTAGACTTTCAACCAATCGATCACTAACAATATCTCTGAGTTGTGTGATTTCATTCTCCATGTCCTTAGCTCTCTCTTTTTCCATCTTTAACTCCTCGTTGTCTTGTCGGAGTTTTGCTGTTTCCACCCTCAAGGATCGTCTTTCAACCTCTGCCGTGTGCAGACGCTGGGTGAAGTTGATAATGTTGCGCTGCAAGCAGGCCATGATTTCCTTGCCAAAGGAGATTGAGAGAAGGTTCATTTTGGACAGGGTGACCTGGGACGCTGTCCCTGCTGTAATACAAGACTGGAATCAACCAGCTAATCACATCAGTCTTAAACAAAACTGAACCTCATCCCTATGGTAAGACTACAAAAATGAACCTGTAAACACCAAAAAACCCACAGCCCCATTCATCAGCAGACCAAAGCAAATGACAATTTCCCAGCTATCAAAACCCGATCTGTTCCACATTACTCCACTTACGTCAGCATTTTTTCAGCAATGACAAAAATACTAAAGATTCTTTCCTTGTTGGTAAGCAGAACAGTTTTTGTATTTTATCGTTCTAAACTTTTCTCTTTGGATACTCAATAAGGTCTCAGCACATCGTGACTCTCTATAAAAATACAAAGACTGTTTTACAAGTATACACGAGTCCTTGGGACTATTTTGTTCATGTACCCTCCTCAAACTCCTTTAGCAACAACACTAAAGAATGGTGCTCTTTCAAACATCTTGCAATGTTTGCCTGATTACATGTTTCTCTTGTCTCTCCTAAGTAAACTTTACAGCGCCCTCAACAGTTATTTCATAAAGCCAATACAACTTGTGAGAATTTCTGCACTGACAAACCCAGGCACATGACCACTTCCAACCCAGTTCTTGGACAATATTTCAAATAGTATTTGTTCTTGAACTTGAGTACTTGTATTCCTGTAAATTCACTATGCTGGTATCCAGATCAAAACATCACAACTATTCTTGAAAATCTATAGGTCCAGCAGCAGCCACAGTCACATGATTAAAAATTTCTGAAAATTGTCTGTCACTGTCATTTACAGAAAACCCAAACTTTTCTGTGATTTCCCTCCAGGTTATCTTTCTTTACTGCCACTCTTCCACAACGTTTTATGATGCTGACTTTAAAAAACAAAAAAACATGTGCACACTGCATCTTAAAATAGATGTCTGGGTATCAAGACATTACATCATAAGGTATTTTTACAACGGTGGTTACCTGACTTTATATGACATTTGCTGTGGCAGGAAACCAGACTAGGAAATGAACTAGACTGCAATACTGCAATATTTTACCTGGTACTCATTTACCTGTGATGAGGCCATATGTGTCTTGCCAGCAGGGCTAGAGTGAGCCATCCCCTGACTCAGACCGTAACCAAGGAGTCGAATCAACATCCCCTTGTCTCTTTTCCCGTAACTCCTCCTTGAGGGGTGGGGACAGGATGCCTCAAAAATGGGTGTGAGCTTGGACATTAGTCTGACAAAGCAGGACTTGGCCGTGTTGTTGATAGTTTGGGGCTGAGATCCGTTCAACTGTTCTGCAAGTCAGAAACATAAAGGTTGAAAACAAACTTGGCCAATTTAATACATGCCGAGACATACTGCCACAAACTTTGAGAAGAGCATTATAAAGGTTCAGCTTCAATATCAAACTGCAAACAGATTTTGCTGGGAAGGAGTCAGATTTTTAATTGGCTCTTTCCAACGAATTATTGAGTTGAGCTGTGCTTTTGCTGCCATAAAAAAGTGTTCTCCATGAGGGGTTTTAGCAGGGCGGACCGCCCTGCCAAAAGTTTAGACCGCCCCGCTAAAAGGTTTTCCGCTCTGCCAAAATTCTCACCGCTCTGCTATGTTTTCTATTGGATTTTCCCTATTCTCCACCATCTTCACAGTTTATGCAAAGAAGTCTACCACATTTTATGGAACGAACATGGTGAGTTTGCCGTCATTATTCAGCACAACAGAAAAGCCCTTCGCACCGTTAGTGATCAAAGCCAGGCGCAGTATACTGTATACACAAGCACAGAACTGGACTGGTTCCAATCTCCTGGTCATAGCATTTTCATTTTGAAGCATCAAGAATCAAGACCTAAAATGCGTTGGTTTTTTCCAAGGAAAATACAGCCAATTTCCTACGTGTAGTTCCGGATATTTCCTAGATCTGGATCGCTTGAAATAAAACTTCTTTTCTTCTGCTTCTAATACTACTTCTTATGTGTTCTAAATTATCAAACAAATTCTGGTCAAATGTAAGCTTCTTGTACACAATTTTTGTTTCAGAAAACATCTAGAAAAGAAATTTCTTGCCAGCTACATTTCCGTCTTGAACTTCGACATTTTTGAATGGTTTGTCAAAAATCACTAGAGCCAAAAAATCAACAAAAAAACACAGGGTGATAAGTCATTGTGTATGTGTGATTCCAAATACTTGTTTCTTACTTAACAATCCTACAAACATCTGCATCTAATGTATATTTAAGCAAAATGACTTTTGGAGTTTCTGGTTTTTGTAAATTGGCAACGCATATTTTTCCTAGTTTTGGATTACAACGCAAGTGCATGCAGGTACAGTACGTTGCGAACTCAACTACACAGGCATAACAAAAATGTACATGTATGTGACGTAATGGGTTGGTCAACTGTGCAGCGTGGGGGGATAGTCACTGATTGCTCGCAGTACAAGCTGAAAAACACCAGTCAAAACTTACACAAGTTTCACTCTTTAATTTACTTAAACTGCTATTTGTGAACTAATTTTCTCGAAATCAAGAAATTCTTCATTAGACAATCAGCTTGCTACAATGGCTCTGGCTGACTTTTTTTACGAGAAAAATATTGTTGCTATTTGGAACCCGTTAAACTGCCTCAGAACTAAAAATGTTGTCACTTCTGACGATCCCGTAAGTCTAGATTAAAAGCTTAGATTTTGAAAGTAATTTTGTAGTTTTTCCAATACACAAGGTGGACGACTGAGCATATTCACTGGAATTATACAATTTTGTCGCTGGAATCTGACCGTGGAGTTATTTTTGCAATCCAGAATTAGGGAAGTGACTGTTCATCATCCACTCGCACTGTGTCCACATATGTACATATAGTTCCGAACTGTCTGCTCGATGGTGAGTTCTGATCAGTAAAAAAAAAAGAAAATGCCCCAGAAAAAAAATGAACTTTTGATGACCTCCCGATGACAATCTTGCCTTCATTTCAAATATGAGCATATCTGATTCAAAGAGTCTGAAGAAAATGCCCAGGAAATACCTCGGATTGCACCACAGAGCATCTAAAATCCAAAATTTTTCGGGGCCCACCGGACCCCATGCCGTAAGGGCTTTGCACTCTGCGCTTGCATCATGGGCTGCCCTGCTATAATTTTAGGCTGGGGAGAACACTGATAAAATATTCAGTGGAGAGAATGGTCAAGTCAGTTCCAATTTAGACATTTCAGGCAAAAACTTTTAATCTTTAGCCTGAATTCAGAATCTAAATACAAATAACACATGGAACAAAAACACACCTCCATGATGCCCACTATCCATGGATCCAAGAAACCTTTGATAAACATGCTCAACTGCATTTATGGCACCACTTCCTCATAAAAATATTCCTTTGAGGCCTGTTGTCCACGAAAGGACCAGAGGTGAAAAAAAGCTTTGTATCTGAAGATCGAACGCTAACCTTTGTCAGTGAGGAGCTCTTGAAGTTCCATACAGGAATCTACCACAGTTGTCAGCAACGCAGAGCTTGTGAACCAGTCTGGGATCTGACTCTGTACATTGCTCCTTTGAGTCTGCTTGTCAGGAGATGACTTCAAACCTGAAAATGAGATGCTTATATTCCTGTCTACAACTCCTCGTCCAAGTCAGGGGTAAATAACAGTCACAGGATTTGAAATGTACATGTGTGATTTCAAAATTGGCAAACAGGATCAAATAACAGACCCAACTTAGGCCCTGGGTTCAATTTGATGCTTAACCTTCAACCCTTGGCCTTACCACACTTTTTTAAGGTCCTGAACTTAGCTTTACAAGATAATCTCACTGAATCTAGAACTTGGTTTTAAGAACTTGAAAAGTCTGTAAAGCAGAAACACTGGGTCTTTTCAGGGGATGCAGAGGAGGACGTTATTTCAGTATGCGAAATCATATTAACGTCGTACAGTAAACAATTCAGGGAAGAACAATCTTACCCATGAATGGTCTCTGGGACGGTTTGATGTTTCCTGAGCAGACTGGGACGGAATGAATACCTGAAGGATTGTCCACTGCAGTGAAAATACCACAACTCCTCAGGCCTAAATGATTCAACCTAAAACAAACAAATTATAGAAGGATTAGCTTCAACTAACCACTTCCCACAAAAATCAGGTGTTGCTACAGGTAAAAATGGATTAAGGTAAATAAATTTGTCATTTCTTTTACTCCTTTAAATGGACCAGCTTAATACTTCACAGAGCCAAATCTCAGGTATTCAAAGGCTTATCATAGCTTGATCAAAAATTTCCTCCTTAGAGAGCATCTCAAAAGTCAGGAACATTCACGTTCCATTGAATGTTCCTGTTCGGAATGCTGGCGTTCCTTTGGAATGTGCCGTGCTCTGTTGGGAACACGGCATTCCTGCAGGAACGCCATGTTCCCAAAAGTGTCTCAAAAGTCTTCCACTGAGATGGATCCTCCGAGAACTTGCATAACTCTACCTGTTTGCTGCTAAGACGACAATAACAGCTTTTCGGAACAGCATGACTGGATTCCTGGCTGACTGACTGATGTCTCTTAGATCTTTCCCTAGATCAGCTTCCTCCATGGATAGAGTGTTAGCTAGCTCCCGGGCCTGTTGCCTGGTATTGAAACGAAACACAGAGCACATGCATCACACTTTACAAATGGAGCATTAGTTTCTTTTTAGCACATACCCACAATAATTCTGTCTTGTACAATGATGAATGAAACATTTATTTCATTACAATAAGCAAACATGATTCACATTACTTTAAGTACTGAGCACATGGCCATTAACTTGAGCAATATTACATAATGCATCATTTTACATTTGATAAATTAGATGACAACATTTAGGTTTAAGGTTAAGCAAGAACGCTTTTGTACCCCAACCTGTGAGTGGACAATAGCATGTCACATGGTATACACTCATGCTCTAACGAATCCAAAGGTGGATTTGACCAATTTTGAAAAACATGTAACTTTTCAGTCTGTGCAATATCCCAAAGGCCTTAAATGTCCTTGTTTTAATGGGGTACAGTGAATGTGCCACAGGTTTGCTGCTGTGTAGTAATTTGTTGGGTTCAGGATAATTTCCAATAAAAACATCAAGAAGATAAGGGTTACGATCTGACATCTTACATGTAAAGCATTGTGATACCACTTTGTGTAGCAACGCTATATAAATACCTTAATTATTATTATTATAACTGGAGATTTTTTTCCAACGGATGAAGACAACTTTTCCCACCTCATAGTCTCAAGGCTGTGAATTTGTTCTTCTAGTGAAGTTCTCTGAGCCGCAAGTTGATTGACTCTGGAGAACATTGGCAAGAGGGCGCCAGCCAGCAGACAGCAGCCAATGAGAAGCCCTGATCGTTCCCTGGTAGCCTGGGTCAGCTGGTCTCCAAGCTGGGAGCATTCAGCTTCCAAGCCCTGCTTGACTGCCCCAGTCAGCCGAGCTTTCTCCCAGGCCTGGTCAGCAAGGTTTTGTGTTTTCTGGGTAAAGGCAATTTTTTTTTGTTAAAAACAAGTCCGAAAATATAACAAGGTCTGAAAAAAGGAAAGAACTGATATTTATGAAAAGACAGAATCACAACAACCACTTTAGTACATTCCAAATTCAAGTAATAAAATGATTACCCTCAAAATAAAGAGTGGCTTTTTCTACTTGTTTGCTTTTCAAAAACAGAATAAATAACCTTTCCTTTTTGATAAATGACTGAATTTGACATTCCAATAATTATGAACAATACATGGGTGAAAACAGTGGCAACTTCCTTTTGATTTGCACTCCGTTACCAACTGTTACAATGCCTGATACTAAAGACAACTCTGGCAACCTGTACCTCATATCATGAAGTTATGTCCCAATGGCCACATTGTGGGTGAAACTTTAAGACCAGTCAATACCTGTGATTTGATGTGCAGATCGGCCAGTTGTTGGCTGAACTGTTCCTCTAGCTGTGATCTTTGCCGACGCCATTCCTTCTCACGTTCCTTACCCTTGACACTCAGCCTCTCTAAGCTCTCCTCATGGGCATGCTGCACCTCTCGCAGTAGCTCATCCTTATTGTGGATCACTGTCTCAAGATGGGCCACCTGATGATTACAAGTGTGGTTAGAAATGTCAGAATTTGAAAAAAAACACAGAAATGCCTCGCAGACGATGGACTTCCACCTACCAAAACGTTTAACTCTAACTCCTTAGGGTGTGCAAAAAAAGATGTTCCAATTCTAGGATTTACATCTGCATTTATGTTTCCTCTTCTCATCATCCTTTGTGGTCTAAACTTATACTTTACTTCCTTTTTGTGCAAAAGAGTTTTCGGCCTAGAATCACAAATACAATGAAGTTCAGTTCTGAGCAGTAATTGTCTGATTCTTAAAACATAATGTGATTGGTCCATCCTCACACACTGCTATGTAGACGTAAGATGCATAATTCATGTGTTGCTGCATAATTTGCTCCTTATCCCAAACCAGTTTTAGGGTTGAATGTATCACGAGACTAACTCTGGCTTGATGCTTCCATCTTTTGGTTTTTACGCCTCTGACAGGGTAGATGCTAGTCCAGTACACATTAAGAATGTACTCTGTTGTAAGGACATCATATCCCACAATGTCAGGCAAAGCTTTGGTTTCTTCTGAACAAGGAAACTTCAAAATAATTTCTGAGCTGTAAATGAAATCAAATTTAGAGATCAAGTAGAGGTTTGGAATACAGCCAGTCTCCGTGGACAACGCCTGGTACCAACTTCATGTGATCCAGGGACCCTTCATTCCAACACAACACCCCACAAGACCTCCAGCCTGAATTCAAGTCACAAATTATTCAAACGAACAGCAACAAAAGCACTCCTTTGTCACTATTCACCTGTTTAATATTTGTGACTGGTTTTGTAAATGAACTTGAGATTGTCTCAACTGCAACACTGATGTGATCTAAAAGGCTATTTAGCTACAGGTGTCTCTGCTCTGACAAAAAGTTGTAATTATCAGGAAACCAACCTTCTCATTGGCTCGAGTCAGTCCCGTCATCAGTCCAACCACCTGATCCTGTACAGCAATACTTAGCTCATCCCAGGCAAAGCTGCTTAAGACAGGCTCCTTGGGATCTAAGACAACCCTCCCGGCCATAATGCGTTGGTATAAGCTGTGCAAGTAAATTCGACGCTTCTAGAAGTGGATTTTGAAATAGTTTTAAAGTTTGATTATTTAACACTGGATTGAAGAGGTGCTAAAAAGAACTAAATTTTGAAACACTATATTTGAAAAAAATCATTTAATTGTTAAGCCTTGTTTTAGCACTCCATGGCACACGACATACAGCTGGTGCTCTGCAGTGTATAACATAAAGCAAAATTTGACGGGTACTAGTTCAAGGTTCAATCCTTGCATAAATTTGGTCCAGGACTATTTGTTGACATTGCCCGGTATCAAGGATGTATTTTATGCACAGGTTACCTGGGAAAATGGCTCAGTCGTCAACAAATAGTTGTTGCTTAAACTAGCTTATTGCTGTGTGTTATTAAGGACAAGTCTGCCAGTCACAAATCATGAGTGAAATGAAGACTATAATTGGGGCCCAAAACTTACAAATAGACTAACAAACAAACCAAGCCTCTACCTCTTCTTCATCCTGGTTCTCCTTGAGTCGTCTCTCAAATTCCTCCATCCTATCAGCTGCTTTGGTGCCTTCCATCTCTCCTCGGTGAGTGGCTTGCTGGAGCTCCATTTTGAGTGATGTCACCTGGGACTCACTCTCGCTCAGTTGATGACGAAGCTGTTCAACCTCCTTGTAACTGCTGCTGAATTTCTTCTGAAGGTCCTGCAAAGGAATCAGATGGAGAGAAAATTGAGAAAGGAGCAAAGAATATCAAGATATCAATGCAAAATGTACCCAAAGCTACTGAAAATGCCGTATTTGACAGTGCAACAAAACTGTGTTCATTTGAAGTTGTAATTTGCTGTGGTCTCATGTGATTATTAACAGCTAAGATCTGAAAGTGGAAACAATGTTAACAGGAAGGAAAAGAGATCATCTCTAAATTAATAACTTGAATCTTTTCACTGTTTTTGAGTTTGGTTTCCTGGCCCTAACCTTAGGTCATGATGAAAGCCCTGTGAAGAATTCTAATACAAACCGGAAAAGTGGCAGGATTTTCACCGGTCATCTATGCTGCTACGTGACTTTGAATCTGTAACCTTTGACCTCATAAATGATGCATCAGCTGCACCTTGGTCTGACCTTTGACCCACCTGCATAGTCTGGCTCCTAGTCCATGTCACCTCTCTATACTTCTCGCACTCAGCTGCCATCTTTTCAGAGCGGCTTTTCATTTTGGTAAGCTGGAAGTGAAACAGTGAAGATTTTTCAATCAAAAATTTTCTTTGCAGATTGAAAATTCTATAGTTAACCTAACTCACCATTTTAACCACTTTTCTTGTAAGACCTTTCAAATCATGACTTTTTTTCTGAACATTTCTGAGAACCAAACATCACAGACCTAAGTTTCAGTTTTATACAATAACACTTCAAGTTATATTAGAATTTTTATGAGAGTTTCAATCACATCAAATTGACCAGTCATGAAAATAAACAGAAAATGAGAAAATTTCAAGTCTCCACTAGATTTACTAGGAAAAGACAAAACAGGGTTGGGAAAAAAACATGCAGGATTCTTGGGAAAAGGTGCCTGTTTATACCAAACACCCAGTGAGTCTTCAAATTTCCATGCTTACCTCCTGAGATGTTGTGTCTAGTCGTTTCTGATAATCTGTCAAAGTATGTCTCAGTGTTTCCAGCACCAGCATGGGCGATAGATTCTCCTTGTTTTTGGCGTCACCTTTTTTCCCCTTGGCTAATTTCTTGGAAGTAATCTTGTCCCCATTCAATTGGAAGTTGTGAAGGAGAAGCTCTAGTTCTTGCATGCTACCACCGTAAGTCTCCTCTAGATAGATCTGTCGCTTCTTGGCCTGGCAAACATCAAGATGAACATTTATCACAAAGTGGCCCTTTGAGTTTCCCACATGACAATGTACAGTGCTTATTTGAGCACAAAAAACAAAATGTTTTAATGGTTGTATTTAGCTTTAAATGTAAAAACTTTTGCAATTTGGCTTTTGGCCACGAAGAAAATGTATGAATAAACCATTTTGAATTGAATTGAAAAATTTTCAAGGCCTGAAAAGAGGTGAGAAAGCCTAGAATTGAGGGGATATGGTTTTCAACATATTAGAAAATATCAGGACAGTGTGGGGAAGGTCTGGGTAATTTGGGGGTAAATTTATTCCACTGTAACAAATCACTCTTGACAAAGAGCAAATTTTTGGCTAGTGCAAGTTCTGGAGCTAGAACCATATAACCTTTCAAACCATCCCTTTCTTAAACGTCTCTGTTGGAGAAACTTTGCCAGATTTGTTTAGGCAACTGGACATGGATTTGGCTTTAAACCACGGACATAAGATAGAGAAACAAGATAAGTCAATCAGGATGAACAATGGAACAAGTAACTCAAGCTGCAGGGGTGATGCTGCAAGGGATGCATACTCTCCCCATTTTTTTTTTAAATGCCTGCCTTCAAAGTATACCCGGTTCTACTGCTAAAACCCTTGGGCTGGAGTCTGGAACTTACCTTACTAAGTTCCTGTTTGAGTTCATCAAAGTTCTTCTGGTGGATTTCCAGCTGAGCTGACATGTTAGTGATGATAGATGTCTTGCTGTTTGTCTCAGCACCCAACTGTTGCTTGAGGAGTTCATTCTCCCTGGAAAAACTACAATAGAGAGAAAAAACCAAAATCTTAACAGAACTGATGGATGGAATCGAGGTTTTAACTACAGATGGCCCTGTCTGAACCTACTACGATATCCTAGGAGAGGCACACTGCACGCACTGGATAGGGAGTGCCACATAACCAACCTACAACTAGAAGAGCAAAACCCTGCCTTGTCGTTTTGCTTGAGGAGAATTCATATGTAGGGTAACACGACCAAAGCTACCCTCCTAGACTTCCAATCTTTTCTGATTCAGTTTTTCTTTGGCCACCTTTTCTCTTGAATATGGTTATGCGAAAACTTTGTGACTTGTTCTTGTTTATATCTTTCATTTGGCAAATTTTTGAGGGAAAAAAGTCTGAGAGGATATCTTAAAACTCAGTTTCATACTTCAGTCAGAATTGAATGTAGGTGCATGGCAGAGATGAACCAAGGGTCAATCAAAAACTGTCAAGGTCACAAACATAAATTGTACTCTCAAGCATGCAAACACAAGCACAGCAGAAACACTTGGTAGAAAACCCCATCCAAGAAAAATCTCTGGTACCAGTGGAAGGGCTAATTATGAAAAATGCACAGTGCCATTGGTACTAAGGACTGTCCCCTAGTTTAGAATCCTAAGAGTTGTTCTTTATATGGACCAACCTTTCTGCCTGATGCTTGGCATTACTGGCAGAACTGCGTTCTTCTTCCAGCCTAACTTCCAGATCTCTGATGAAGGTAAGATTATGTCTCATTAGTCCCAAAATCCATCAATCAGCCAAAATGTTGCCTTGATTTGTGACAAGCCAACTTTAAAATTGACAGTCTACTGCGAAGAGTCAAAACACTTGGAAAAGTTTGTAAAGTTCTATTATACTCTAGTCTTATTGCCATACTGTTTTTGTTGCTAACTTTTTCTGCCAAATTTGGTCTTTGACACCTTTCTGTTGACAAAGTTCCAAGAAGACTTTCTTGTGCCAAGCCAATAAATTGCTGT